CCTAACAATGAAAAATTGGCTGAAGAAATGCAGTGCCAAAAATCACACTGACTTTATTAGAAAAACCACATAAATTAATGTGGTTTTTTTCACTATTTTCCATTAAGTGCTGATGAGCGCGTATGATTAATTTATGTTTAACTTTTTTTCATATGTTTGTTTATTGAAATCCAGATACAAGTGACAATACAAAGAATATTATTTAATTAAGCATAATTGGCTATGTTAAAATAAGAATAATAAATATATTTGGACCAGCAGTTCAACAATGTTTTACTTTTTTAAAATAAGATAAAACTGTTTATGATATTTATTTTGTAAAAATTCTTTAATTTTTCTTACAGGTAGATAAAAAAGCAAATTCACATGGTAAGGTGAAAGAGTAATTGCTGAATAATTTAATTAATACCTTTTACATGTAAAATTACCTTTATCTTCTGGATTCATATATTGTGTAATATTAAATATGATATTTTCTGTATTATTTAATGTACAAATACAAAATAAGCCTTGAAAAATTGTTGGCGCCGGCCACACACTTCTGAAAACATGAGTGTGCTAGTGGCCACAAAGGTTGGGGACCACTGGTCTAGACAGTACTTGGTCCTGCCATGAGGGCAGGGGACGGGACTCGATGACCTCTCGAGGTCTCTTCCAGTCCTAGTATTCTATGATTACAGCAAAGTATTTCCTTTTTAGTGGCTTTGAATGGCTATTTACCTAACCTTCCTGCCACAGTAGGGTTGAAGGTCCCTTCTTTAAGAAGGAAAGCAGTGTTTGACTTTGATAAAGAGTGCGTACTACTTAATGGTTTGTAAACATACCTACTGCACTCAAATGCCTAAAGTATTAAACAGTCAGTTCTGTTATCCTTCCAATACCCTGGCAAAAAAAAACACGCCGGGTATGCACAACTTGACATTTCCAAGTCAAGAATAGAAAATTGTTGACAGATGGTGTAAAGATCTTTGAATCCTCCTTGAGAAAACAAACTTTAGACACTTTACTAGTTGCTGCTCAAATTTTTAAATAGGCCTGCCCTCTTCCTGCACAACAGTTAATATTTGAGTCATTCCTCAGTATGCTGTTCTGAAACGCATGATCAGCTTACCCTGTTCAACACCAGCAAAGAAAGTGAAAGCTGTTTGGGTTAGCAGCAGCACCCCGTGATTAGGTTCAGAAGCTAAGTAGTAAGGCTGCTGTAAATATGGACTAAATCCCTAACATGGCGATCGGGGCTTTTTTTGCGGAAAAGCGCGTCTAGATCGGCCACAGACGCTTTTGCGGAAAAGCATCCTGCCAATCTAGATGCGCTTTTCCGAAAATGCTTTTAACGGAAAACTTTTCCATTAAAAGCATTTTTGGAAAATCATGCCAGTGTAGACGTAGCCTTACTGTGTTGACTTATAGCAATCTTATATTGTAGATTGCCTACTGAAAGATAAAGGGTTAAAAATTTGCAGTTCAATAGTGATGGTTGCTCAATTAAAAAAAAAATCCCAAACCACTACCCCCAAAAGTAGTCAGTCATATACTGCATCTCACATGGCCTGGTAAGAACAAGAAGAAAGTAGGACCCTTGGTTGTAGTGGGCAGGGGAAAGCACATCTAAAGATGTGCTCTGTATATGCATAGTGATTTAAAACACAGTCCCTGTGGCTCTCTGCAGGTAGCCTCCCCCTCCCTAAAGAGCAAGCTCCCCATCCAATCCTTAGCTCCTATTGGCCAAACTCTCAGCTCCAACTGGCTGAGAGATTGGCCTGAGAGACTGGGGCAGTGCTTCCCGTACCCTGAGTTGAGTGTCACATGACAAGAACAGCCTGTATTGTCAAGCAGGCTAGGACTGCAGCAGGCAGGGAACCCAGCCTTGGGGGTGCTGTAGCTGCTGGCCAGGAGACACTTATGTAAACTACTCCCAGCCAGCACCTGCCTCTAGCACCCCAACCCCTCCTGCACCACAACTCCCTCCCCCAGCTCACCATCCAAACCTTCTGCACACCCTGCCCCAGATGACAACTCCCTCCCAGAACTTGTAATCCCTTCTACACCCCTCCCTCAGGCCAGAATCCTCTCCTGCACCCCCTCTCCCTCCCTGACCCAGCTCATGACCCCCCTCCTACACCCCATGTGCCCTTCTGCACCCAACTTAAACCTGCACACACACACAAAAAAGTACCACCCTTCACCACTTATCAAAGTCTTGGGAGTGATTCCTACCAAACATTGCCCACCCCTGGGTGAACCTTAAATAACCTTCCCTCAACTATTTAGGACTCTAATTTATGACATGTAAGGCTATTTCAAATACACCAACATTATTAGCCTGCAAAACACTGGAAATGTCCCAACACTAACTGGCACTTGTTAAAATGTAAGGCCAGTTACATACAGTAGGTTCTGAATACTATAGAACTTCACTCATACTGTACAGCTAGGTTGTGTCTAGACTGCATCCCTTTTCCGTAAAAGGGATGCAAATTAGACACACAACAATTGCAAATGAAGCAGGGATTTAAATCCCCTGCTTCATTTGCATAAACATGGCTGCCACTTTTTTCCAGCTCAGAGCTTTGCTGGAAAAAACTGGCAGTCTAGACGCGGATCTTTTGGAAAATAAAGCCTTTTCTGAAAAATCCCTTAAGCCTTATTTTAAGAGGCATAAGGGATCTTTTGGAAAAGGCTTTATTTTCCAAAAGATCTGTGTCTAGACTGGTGCGAGCAGAAAAAGCGCGCCAGCCATGTTTATGCAAATGAAGCAGGGGGGATTTAAATCCTCACTTCATTTGCAATTGCCATGTGTCTAATTTGCATCCCTTTTACAGAAAAGGGATGCCGTCTAGACACAGCCCTAGAGGCTTACAGCTTAAAGATGTAAGTAATGGCTTGTTCAAGGTTTTGTTTCCGGAGTATGTGCGATAAGCACAAGTAGTGGGAATAAAGTCAAAAAATGGAAACTAAGCATTGACTGATGCTTTGTGACAAATGATTTTATAGAAGCTGACTTTGCAAATGGCTGTTGTTTAGTTTTACTTTCTTGCACCAGTCACAAACAATGCACTAGTGATTTAGTGTACATGATTACAGGACCAGTGGCAGCTGGTTTAGGAACTACAAATTGACTCAACCCACTCTTTTTTTACTCCCATTTCACCTAAGTTTGTCAGCCAGTTTAAAATGCCTGCAGTCAAAATTGTGTCTGTAGTTATAGATAAAACAACTAAGATCAGCATTTACATAAATGTAATTCTGTCCCATCAGAAAAGCCTTCTTGCAAAGCTAGGCAGCAATACTGCCTGGAGTGGAGAAATGTTTAGCAAGATGGGCCTTTCTACTGCCTCCCACTCAGGTTTCTTTAATCAAGCAGGCTTATACCACAAGGTGCACAAGTTTAAGGTTGCTACCTTAGGTTAACAGCTGTGACCAACAGTTATGTAAGATTAACTGTAAAAAAAAAAAACTCCAGTAAGACTAAAGAGGTTAGACATGGACAGTTATCATTGCACATTCATCCAAAGGCAGGGGTCCCCAAACTTTTGGGGATTATGCCTGACCATGGCCATAGGTGGGACAGACATGGACAGGGGGAAGGGTCCATGAGCTGGGCTGCAGTAGTGGCCAGCTCAGCCTGCAACCAAGTGTGTCTAGCTCCATTCCTCGTCCTCCACTGGGAACACCCAGACTGGGCACTGCTAGGAGTCAGGGACCCAACTGGGAAGAGAGGGACTGAGTTGTGTTCCCTCCTTGCTCCCGGGGGTAATGGCCTGGGCCTTGCCATGTCCCCAACTCTGGGGGCCCCTGCCTTAAGCTGTATTACACTCAATAAGAAAGCCATAGGCTGGACTTTAGCCAAGGAATAGCAGCAGTTAGAAAGGATACAGAAAATCTCAGGTCTTTAATGCTACATCGGGATAAGAATTTAAACCTTGAAGGGGCTAAAGGAAGACTTTTGAAAGATGCCTAAAGGAAACAGGAAGGAAAACTAGTCAATTAGAACTCTTAGAATTATGCTAGGATTTTCAGTGACACTTGTGCTTAAACCTTATCATACCTCCATTTCCTCTAGGCACACTGTACTTGGCTGCTCCTGGAAACACTTACACCCCTGGAATCACACATGCTAGGCTTCAAACTACTGCTTCCCTCCCATAAATAAAAAAAAGTGAGCTTACTTAAATTTAAGAGCCCTTAACACAGAAGCTGCCCAGGGTTCAAGTTGACTTGACCTGTTTTGAAGTAGTTGAGGTTTTAAAAGCTGGTTCCCCCAGCACAGGCTCCATGGTGATGTCTACCCCCTCCCCCAGAGGCAGCAGGGGGGCAAAGCAGCCTCTGCCCATGGCAGACAGAGGCACACCGTAGGCAGAGGCTGCTCTGGCAGCAGCCCCTGGCCACTGTGAACAGGGTCTGCTGGACTCAGCGCTAGCTGGGATGGAGCAATCCCAGCTCATGCTGGTCCAGAACACTATGCCTCTGCGTTTTAAATATAGTAAGAGCTATCAAGCTTTTACCATATTTAAAATGCAGTGCCACAGCATGGGTGGCTTCCAGAACCAGCAGGAGCTGGGACTGCTCATTCCTGGTGCAAACGGATTCCTGGAGCTACCCCAACTGTGGCTCTGCACACCAATCCTTATTGACTAATTGTGTACTTGATACAAGCTGCATTGACTACAAGTAGGTCTAGAACTATGGAGTTGTTCCCGGGATACCAGAGGTATCCCAGGAAAAACTCCACCCAGCCCAGGGAATGTCTGCTCTTCTCACCTGTTTTGTGGAAGAGCAGACGCTTTCGGAATCCCACTCTTCCTCATTTCACACTTCCGAAAGAGGAGGTTTTTCTGAAGTTTGGCGCAGTATAGGCTGACTAAATTTAAAAAAAACCCACAGGAAAAGGTATTCAAATTATGATTATCCAGATTGCAATTTAGCATCCTTAGTTGAAAGTAGTTAAGAAGGAGAAACTAAGCTACATCTTAAATGACTTTTGCAATCAACTCTTTGCAGACCTTGGAGATGAAGAGTCTTTATTGTTCAGATACTTCAGAGCCCACAAGAACACAGAATTATCCCAATTCGGGGTTAAGCAAAACACAAGTCCAGCTCAATTAAACATTACATTAGAGCTACTTTTCAATTAAAGTGGCTTTAGACAAAAAAAAAAAAAAAGACCCATTTCACTTGATGAGCAAAGCTTTTTGCGCTTGTTTCCTAGTGATGCTCGCAGGCTTCTTTTCCACAGATTTGATGACTCCAACTGCAACAGTCTGCTTCAAGTCCCGGGCTGCAAAGCGACCTGAAATGAACTTAAATATTTGAATTGCCTTTCAAAATAAGGGGAAGATGCTACTGCTTGTAGTCAGTAAGCAGTCTAGTACTCTCTCTTCCCCACCCCATCGATTATCTCAATTAGATTTAAGCTCTTTGTGGAGGGTCATTTTCTTTCTCTCTATAGCATTAACCAGTGGGGGCCTGGCCCATAAGTAGACTAAATTGTTACAAGTACTTCAGATAGGCAGGCTTCCTTTATTGCAGTAACCGTCTATTTAAGTTTCTTAGCTGAAGACTGCATCTTCCAATTCCCTGCCCAGTCCCTCAAAAATACACAGGACTATGAAGACAATAGAAATGGAAGCTCCTAGATTTAGTTAAGGGACTTTTTAAATCTCATGTAGGATTGGTAGAAAATATGCAGATCTGACTTTTCTTCAAACACTTGCCTAAAGGGGGATAGTCAAAAAATCTTTCCACACACAGCGGCTTCTTGGGTACAAGCCTGACAGTAGCAGAGTCTCCTGACTTCAGCACAGAAGGATTATCCTCCAGCTTCTCCCCAGATCGACGGTCAATCTTCTCAAAGAGCTCAGCAAACTGGCAGGTGACATGAGCTGTGTGACAATCCACCACTGGTGAGTAGCCAGCCTTGATAAAGCCAGGGTGATTCAGGATGATCACCTAGAACAAAGGAGGGATGTGTTCCAGGAACTAAGAATCTACTTGAGTTCCCCAGCCCTTTCCTTCCTGTTTTAGGATGCCTAGACATCTACAGGGAGCAATGTCCTCTATAACTGAGCAGTAGATACCACTAGAAGCAGCCTACACCAGCACTGGGGAGGAAGGAGAATTGTCTGTAGTACTTACTGCAGTGGTGGGCAACCCACAGCCTAATAGGGGTTCTATGTGTGGCCCACATGACATTGTGTACAGTTGCAAGATTCTGCTGGTTTTCATCCATGTCATTTTTTCCTATCAGTATTACACAAGAGACATGTAAACCAAGGGCACATGAAGTGAGGCACGTTCTGATTGTCCGCATCATCATGAGAGCCGTGCTCCCTCTGCATTAGTCAAAGAGCTGCTATGGTTCAATTGGCACACCCTGCAAACTCTAGGTCCACCAGGGCAGTTGGCAAAACTATCCTATCCCAGGAGACCATCTTGGTTATGACAATCTTGTGGCCACCAAGATGGAGGGCTACTCATGCGGCCCACTCTGCCTGTTGCTGACACTGTTCTGCAGAGCCCACTGACACCCCACTTGTACATTCCCAGCCTCCCAGTCATGCCACTAGAGGTCACACCTCATAGCAATTGCAGCCTTCCTGACATGCACACGCAGAGCTAACACCCTATGACCAATGTAAGCCCCATAGAAGCAAACCTCTGCACCTGAGCAATGAAGTGGGCTGCTGCTGCTGGGGGGTCACTCCTGGAGTTGCCAGCCACATGGCCCCGTCTCAGGTTCTTGACAGCAATGTTCTTTACGTTGAAACCTACGTTGTAACCCGGAAAAGCCACCTGCAGAGGCTCATGATGCATTTCAATGGTTCTGACCTCTGCCGACAGGTTTGCAGGGGCAAAGGAGATGTTCATGCCTGGCTTGAGGATGCCAGTCTCTATCTTCCCCACTGGTACAGTGCCAATTCCTGGGAGGAGACCGGGAGAATAAGAACTGACTGGAAAGCCCTCAGCCAGCACAGCAAGCTGACCAGTTACTTCATGCCACCTCAGATTGTCCTGACCCAGCTGGTGAAGGAGGGAAAGTAACTTCAGAAAGCGTCCTTCATGAAGTTGAGCTTTCACTAACCCAGGTCGGATTAGTGAAGGGACCAGCTCCCAGGCTGCTGCTAGATGCTTCTGGCCATGCCTCAGACTAAGGAAGTAAGTGACCGAGAGACTTATCTACACAAAGTCATTAATTTGGGGGGGATGATTTGAGCCCTGTACCCAAATGGAGACCCCACGAAGCACCCAGAATGCCCCATTCCTGCCTGGACTGACCACCAATCATGAAGCACCCATTCCTGCCTGGACTGACCACCAATCTTGTAGACATCCTGCAGAGGCACCCTGAGAGGTTTGTTACTGGGCCGCACAGGAGGCAGCAGAGAATCCAGTGCTTCCAGGAGCGTCTGCCCCTTCCCGAAGCCCCTCTGAACCAGGGCATCTGCAGCAGGTGGAGGGAAGCGGGTGAGAAGCTGGACAGCCTGGGGCCGGTGCTGCCCCCCAGCAGAAGGGCCACTCTCCCCTCCTGGGCCCACCCTGAGGGTGCCCCTTGGCCCATCTCCTCCCCTGCTGTCTGGGCAAGGCAGAGGGCCCGCAGTTCTGTCCTCCAAGGGGGAAGCCACCCCACAGCCCCCTGCATCCCCACCTTGGAGCTGGGCAGGGTGACGTTCTCCCCGGTCCAGCCGGACACCGGCACGCAGGGCACGGCGGCCGGGCTG